TTAGTATCTAGCTTCAGATTCTGCTTCAGAAGAGAGAGCATGCAGGCATTGCTGTGTAAATGGCTGCTTCTTTCAGTGCATAAACTTTGATACTTATTGCCTTACATGATAACTCTCATTTCCAGCGGAATGTAGTAATGCAAAGATTATATAGCATTTTAGCGTATTATTTTAATGTAAAATTGAAATCCACTATCTCTATAGAATAAAATAATTCTCATGTAGCTTTAGAACTTTCCATGAAAAAATGTGTTGGCTTATATTTTAATGAGGTTTTTTTCCTATGTGAAGCATCTTCCTGTAAACATCAGTAACAAGAAGAAAATTACTTGAGAAGCTTTTCAGTTTACTTCCAAAATATTATCTGTCTTACGCTTGAGATTACTTCTTTCTTCATCGGTAGGAGACAAAACAGTAGGCAGGATAAGAGGTGATGGGAAAATGACAGTTTGTCATAAGCTTCTAATTCCTGTTTTTATTTCTAAACTTAAAATACTGGTCTAATGGATAAATTCTGAGTGTGATTTCTGATTAAGGGAACACAGGTTTCTAAATGGTTCTGTATTCATCTTCATGTGTCTTTAAAAAAGCAAGTTAAAAAAAAAATCCCAACAAACAGTAAAACAGATATTGAAGAGGAGCAGTATATCAGTCACAGTCTATTGTCCACTGAGACCTCTAGCAGATCTGCTCATTCTCTGTATAAATGAAGTGTTTAGTGCTTCACTGTTTTACATAGTGTTTTCTTGAATGATCTGAGAGAGGAAGTAGAAAGCACATTAATTACATCTGCAGATGATATGAAGCTAGCGAGCTACAGCAGCTGGAAGAATGGAAAGAAATATGAATTGATCTAGAGAGCGGCAATGTGCAGGAATTTACAAAATGAGGCTCACCTTGGAAACATGATCCAAATCATAGAGATGTTCTATGTAAAATTAGCTTAGTGAAGTGTTAATGTTGAGCTTTCACTCATGCAGTAAGCAAGATCTATTTATCTTGATATATCACTCAGTTAAATGTTTCTTATGGTATCCTGATCTTTAACCACTTCTACTGAATCTTCCTGGAACTGTTTCCAGTTTCACTACTGTGGTTTTGGTGATGAAGGACAAATAACTGGGACTATTTCTTGGTTTATTTGCAAGCAAAAACTAAGCAATATATGAAAAAACTAATGGCTCCTTTTTTATGATTCTCCCTCCCCCCCCCCTTTAATTTTAATAGAATTCTGTCTTAATCAGTGCTGCAAATTACGTGTCTGTCCCAAATTCAGAATTCTTGGATCTAAAATTGCGCTATTTTGTGCAGCTGCTCTTTTACCAGTTTGCTTTCCAATTTGGGATGCCAGCAGGACTCCAGAGCAAAACTGTCCTGAGATTTCATTTTCTTTACATTATTTTATGAATGGCTCGTGCTTTGCCTTGATGCTTTGGAAATGAAATGGACCTGGCTGCCTTTATGGCTTATCAGTTTCTCAGCCCTGGGCTCTTTACAGGGGCGAATGCCAATCAGTTGTAATTTGCTCAGATAACAATGTTACTATTGTTAGTGCTAACATGTCTGTTTGTTAAATAGGTGGTGTAATAGCTTGTTGTAAGAAATAATTTCATGTTGAAGAAACAGCCTAAGAAGGCTTTTTGGTACACTTTGTGTAATACTGTGTGTGCAGGAGGCAAAACAAAACCGCATATCCAGTATCACATTTGGCTTTTATCACTTTTGGCTTAATTAGGCTCTATCTAAATGTCCCATGTTTTTCTGCACTGAGCTGCTGAAGATAGCTGCGATGTAACCCAGATCATGTACTCCTGTGACTATCCTAAATTAAGATTAGATGACGGGGGTGGGGTGGAAAGGTGCAGAAGCCTTATGATTTTTTTTTATTTTTTTTTTTTTCCTGTGGATACATGAGCACCTGCCTAATAAATTTAAGCCTCCTGGTGATGGGCTTGCTTTGCTTACCTTTAGCGAGCCTCCTAGAAATGGTCCACAGATTACAGTGTGTAAGACACAGAAAACAGTACAGTGAAGTTTAAAGTTAAGGCAGTACGTAACAATCAATTGCTTTATACAAAGACTGAATGAAAGTCTAACTGTTACTGTGTCGGACTTTGAAATGAACAGCTAAAAAGATGGCCAACCAAATTCATTGTGTCCCTGTACCAGTGTGGCAAATCTGTCCAGCACCTCCTCTCTGTTGGCTCCTGCGCCAGCAGTGGCTCATCAGGCTGGCACGCGTTTCTTGCTCCGCTCTTTGCAGCATGTCCTCTCCCTGTCTCCATCTTGAGAATTCATCAAAAAAGGTAGTGTGCCCAAAAGCCTGGTTTGATTCCTTTCAGTGTATCAGCTTTTTTTATAAAAAGAAGGACTTTGTTTTTTCTTACATATCTTCAGAAATCCTTTCATGGCAGAGCTCCGTGAAGATGAGGATGTATTTTGCAGTTTCAAAACTCCACGTTGCGCTAGCAGTATCGGTTTATGTAATATATTTAAGAAAGAGGCTGAACTGGTGTTTGTTTATAATTACAATTGCTTTTGAAATGTCTGTTGTGTGTTTGGCATGATTTTGATTTGTGAGTGGAACCAGGCTTTCAGCTGAAATCTATTGTTATTCACTTTAACCTGTTTTAGGGTTATTCATATTTCATTCTTTTGTGCTGAGTAAACTGTAATTTGGGCAATGCTTATTTGTCCTGATTAAACATATTTGCCTGTACCTTATCTCAGTTGATTATATTAAAAGCATAAGACAAAAGGATCTCCTTTTCTTGCTATTTCCTCCACAGTGTAAGTAGAAGATTGTGTTGCTATTTATCTTTGCTACTGTGCTTCTCTATCTCTCCGGTTAGTATTCAAGTGTGGCATGAATTCTTTATCCGTATAGTATGGTGGTGGCTTGCAAGTGATGAAAAACAGTTTCCTTTACGCAAATGTCCATCTTTGTTAATGCTGTCAAACAGCCAAGTGTGATATCCAGGGAATACACGTCACTCTGTGGGTTACTGATAATGTAATCTAATTTCCAAAAATAGATTAAATGCATCTTTTCATCTTTAGCCATCAGATGTATGTAAGCTAAAGGAAAACAACATGCCAGAGACAGTACATGTGAATTTGGAAGAAAGATCAGTGGCTAATTTGAAATTAAATGTTTGGGTTTGCCACATTTTCTGATAAATTAACCTTGGTGAGGAAGCTCGTGATGGTATTGTGTTGTAGAGACTTCCACAGATAAAATATTTAAGTTGAAGGACTGTTATTTGTTTCAAACAATGCCTTTAAAATCTTTATAAGCAATTTTTACAAGGCCTTTTTCAGCAAAACCTTATGTATAGCAGTGATAAGCTTCACTTTTTAAAAAGTGTTAACAAATGCTACACTTTTTTTTCATGAATGTCTTTTATTTAGTGATTTTCCATGCCCTCCCAAGTAAAATGAACTAAGTTGAGGAGGAAAATGAATGAAATGGCATTTCTGATTTTAATAGGTGAGGTACCAGGACACAGACTGAACCCTTCCCTAGCATGTACCACCTTTTTTTTTTTTTGTAAAGATGTTATTGCCATGTATTCAAGTTGAAAGATGAGTAATAGTTCTATTCATAAGGAAATGGCACAACAGTTGTGTCAATCCTTTTAGTAATTACAAGATGTGAGAGAGGATCCGTTCTCCCTCCACGTACCCCTTACCAACTCAACATTTCTGCAGGCATTTCCAATCAAAGCCAAGTCATTTTGGTGCCTCTTTCCAAAAAATCTGCTTCTGCTGTAGTTTAAGCTGGCCAAAGTCTGGATTGTGTCATCCAACGCTTTTCTTAGGATCTGCTCCCTCAACTATTTTTTTTTGTCAAACCAGGCAAATGGTGGTGCTTCTAGATATAGAGAGCGTCAGAAAAGCCCCCTATGGCTTCTGTAAGCTCTATCAGCTGCAGAACTGTACCTTACGGTAGTTGAGATTCTCCATCATTTACCCACACCAGAGCACCAAAGTCAGGTCCTTCATTTCTGGTTTGCTTCTCTTAAGGTAATCTGTGCGACCCTTTTCAACGAGCCTTAATACCCTTCTTCAATTGCCTCAAACTGTCACGTTGAATATTTTTGTATCTTCATCCAGCTTTGCGCATTTATAGCTTAGCTGATACTGTTTTGTATGTATGGCTGAGCTATTTCTCCTTTAACATAATAGAAACAACAGTTTTCTGTTGTTTCTGCCAGACCAGGCAGAACAAATCTGTTCAGAGATCTTGTATAACCTGTGTGACATCCCCATTGCTGAAGAAATAGAACTATTTGTTATAGAGGCTATCCTTTAATCTCACTGAATTATTGAGGATACTATTTAATTGAAGGACTCCTTTTATAATTAAGAACTTGCTGTCCGAGCCCTAAAGGGGAAAACTTGCCAGCTAGTTTTCATCCATCAGGTGCATGCAAGCATTATGAGAGGCATTTGTAGTGCTACTTTAAATCAAAAGTCATTAATGTTCATTTGTTTTATCAGTAATGTTTATGTGGTTGTATTGCTGCTGTGGGTACCAGAATTGGGCAGATGGCAAGAACATGTTAGAAGTACCGTTAGTTTTTCAGTTTCTGTTGTTCTGCATTACATCAAAAATGCCTTTTATATAAAACCTGTGGTTGCACCTTTATACTCCTGACCTCCTCTGAGCTGTACAAGAACAGGCTGTTCCTATATCATGTTACACTAGCTGCGTGGCATCTCTTTTTCTGCCCATTAGAAAGTATGTCAGTGCTTACGTCCTGTGCCTATTGAATGACAGGTGACCATTAAGACATGTTAGCTGCATAAATAATTGGCATGGTGATTATTTCACATATTCCACAATTATTCTTGTGACAAATTTATTATATCACTTTGAACTGGAGGACTGTAAGGTATTTCTTATATTTATTAAGTATGTATTCAAATTTATTGGAGTGAGGTTTTGTGATCTTTCTAGTACAGATGAAGTAACTCATTCTTTCCTTGTGTCCTAGTTTAGACTTGGATCTCTGAAGCTACAGAAAGTTTTGAGTCCGGCAGAGGTGGTTAAGGAGCTGATTGGTTACTGTCTGGACTGCCTGGGAAGACTGCATGCGAAAAATGAGCATCTGCAAAAAGAAAACGAAAGGCTCTTCAGCAGCTGGAGCGACATGGAGAAGCTGTAAGTTTAAAAGTGCATTTGCAGGTGATACTTGAGAAACTCACAAACACTTATACTGTCAGTGCAGGCTTTACTGATGAGCACTTTTGAAGTCACATACAGAAAGAGACACACATATTTCCGTTCTCTTGACAAGTGTTTTGAGCCCAGTTATCTACAGCCCATGTAGTTGTGAATTTCATTCCTATGTCAAAGATACAACTGGTATTACAAACTTTGCAATAAAAGCTGGTTTTAGCTTTATGAAGTTAAAAAAAAAAAAAAATTACCTTTTTTCTGTAGAATCCTCTCCACTTTCTTCAGGAAGCCTTTTCCTTTCCACTATTTCCTATAATTCTTAGGACTAGCAGTTTAAATTATCTACATTTTTGAGTGGGAAATAAATGGCCATCACTTTAATCTGTTTGCCTTGTCAAAGCAGCCAGAATTGGAAAACGAGTGTGTTGTTATATGAAAAAGTAACATTATTTTAAAAGAGATTTTTATAATTGCCATTGCATTTATGATCTGAATTGTCTGCCACTGCACTCTGTAGTGAAGTAACCTATGCTTATTTCAATTGGCATAAAACACTTAGCACATACAAGTCAGAGATTTATCTTGATTTTCTATAGCTTTATCTGAAAAAAACCACATTTAGGAAGATTGATGAAAGAATGTAGCTAATTGGCATTAATTTACCCTGAAAAAGAGAGCGAACTTTTGGGAGGAGTTAGTTTTGTTTCCTTCTCATTAAAATGAGTAACAGTTTCTCCTGACAATCTCCCTGACAAGCATATGGCCTTCCTAAGTAGTGTTTTACTGCTTAACAGTTTATTGAACAATAGCGTATTGTGTAACCAGTATGCTGTACTGCATTACACGCTAATGTGTAATAGGCGTTAGTGCTTGTATCAATTTCCATGGTGGTGTGGCACTTTTTTTAAAGAGTAACCCCAAAGAAAAAAAAAAAAAAATCACAGTAGCCTCACAGCCTTTGCTCTCAGAAGCAGTGTATTCAAGCTTTGAAAGCTGGTGGTTTTCTTTAGTATGTTTATATTTTGAACAGCTGAAACATGATTTTTCAAAATAAATATTGAAAGTTGTACAGTCACCAAACTTTGGCCATGTCTGCTAAATGGAGAATAAAAATTATTTACATCCAAACAGTATTGGGGGTTTTTTTTTTGTTTGGGTTTGTTTGGTTTTGGGTTTTTTAAATTCTTTTTGCCACAGCCTAGTCTACCCTGCTGTGTCTCTCTTTGCTCTTTTGGCTCCAAATGCTGGACCTAGTGTTGTGAGTTTCTTGGACCTGAACAAAAGCTTTGCCTGTCTTTGTTCAGTAGACAGGATTTCAGGCTTCGCATTCTGTATCACTTGCGGTGTTGAGTGGTAAAACATCAAATAAAGCACGTGATGTTGAGAATTGTGCTCCCTCTTTGCCTGGAGCTAAGGCACATCAGCTCCAGAGTTTCAGCCCCTGCAGTTCCCTTTGCTTAAAATCTCTCTCTTCAGGACCTCATTAGAATTAAAACATAGCATGCAGACTTCCAAGAGCTGTGTTTGTTCATTGTAAGCATGGGGCACTGGATGGAATAATTCAGTCATCCTCTTTCCGTTTCCCTACTCTAATTTTCTTGCCCATCATGAAGGTTTTGTGAGCTCAGCTCAGCAGCTTTGCCCTGTAGCTGTCTGGGGCATCTTGAGGTCTAAACTTGTTCTGCTTTCCGTTCGGTCTGCAAAATGGCAAGGAAGTTTCATTCAGGAGGCTAAATTTGCCTAGTGAGCAATCTGTAGGCTGAATACCAGCCCCGATCTGCTGCTGGCTGTTGCCTCACCAAAGCATGGTGAGATATGTGAGATAATCCGCCCAGCTGTAAAGAGCTTGCTGCTGGCAGCCCTGTGCCAGCTACAGAAGTGACTCCTGCCGCTTCCCTCTGAAATTCAGGTTCACATAAAGGCGAAAGGCAGGAGCAGGCCAAAAATCCCTTTGAAGAGAAATCCCCTGCATGGTCAAATTAATTGTTAAATTGCTTATGCACTCTAGTCTAAGCTGTGCAGCATCTGAGGTGTTGGGAGTGTTTCTGGTTGAAGATGTAAATCCCTATCATCTTGCTTATTGTGATGACCTAAGTGTAGGAATTTACCTGGCTGAAAAATTCCCTGCTTTCAGGAAATGACCCATATGTAGGTGACATCAGTATGGGAGTTATTGGCTAGCTAGACCGTTCAGCGCTTGATCTAAAAACATAAAATAAAAATGACTAAGACACTATCTGGCAAGATCTAAATAGAGAGGCTAAGGAAATTTTCAAAATTATTATTCTGAAAATGCTGTGTGTGCCTGGGGGTGAGTGTGTGTGTGCGTGCGCACCTCAGGGATGGTTGAGTTAAAATACCAGAGCAGAATAGCTATTGTTTTTATTTCATATAGGTAATTAAGATGGTAAAGGTAAAGTAATAATAATCTGTAGCAAAACAATTCCTTGGCCAGTAAAACTCAAGTTAAAGTTCTGATTTGGGTATGGTGTGTATTTTGTATCAAACATCTAAAATTAGTGTAGACAAGCCAAAAATAGCTACTAATTTGTGTTGTGGTCAACTATAGTGACAGTATATTTAAACCACAAATAGCTTATAAAAATGCAGGCTAGGTAGTTTGGTGCTTGAAACTGACTCTTCAGCATTAGCTCATCAAGATTCAATACCATTGCCAATGTTGGGGGAAGGGTGAATCTGAAATGTAATAGAGCGGTGCTGTAAGACCAGCAATTATTTTAAAGCACTGAGGACAAGGATGAATAGTAGAGATGTTGAATTTTTTCTTTCTACTATTGGAGTGTGGAAAATGTATAAATGCCATTAAGTTACATAGTTCACATTAACCTCTGTGAAGCATGTGTGATTGCTCTACATTTAGGCAGCACTTAAGAACTGGACAGTTACCTTATTTTCTCAATTACTGATTGTAACCATTCCTAATACTAGCTGCTTTCAGTGGGCTGTGCAAGCTTTTTGATGGCAGTCGACTTGGGCGTCTGGCACATTAAAAGCATTGCACTTAACATAACAGAGACATCTAAGAGTGTAGAAATCAGAAAACACGTGCAAATAAGACTTACATCACTCTAACCATTAAATTCCATTTATTTTCATTGTACTTGAAAGTTGTCTTTGAGGTGAGCAGCTTCTTTATTTGGCCTGGGGAGATGGTATTTTAGTGAGACAACTCACATACAGGCACAAGCATGTAATGAATTGCAATTAAAGTTTGTATTTGTAACCGACGAGGTATTTGCGATGAAACCCAGCCAGATTTGCTTAGTGGTCATGTAATTCAGGTAATGCATGCCTGAGTGAATCCTAAAGGCTATGCAGAGCTACAGCCAGAGCCACCCCACAAACAGATACGTTCTCCATTATTAATGTATCCCTGTTCCCACGCAGCAGAGGACGGTTGCTTTTTACTATGCTGTTTTTAAGTATCATCATATGCCATATAATACTACATTTGTAAAGGCTCATAACTTGCAAATATAGCATTAATGTAATACTATTTTACACTGATTGAATGTTAGGCCAAATGAATGTCGTACGTATGTCTGGAGAATGTATTTATATATGGATCACTTTAAACAACGGGAAAAAATCAAAAAAGGTGTTCATGTAAATGAAGACAATCATGTAAGATTAACTGATTGCATACTACTAATTGATTTTGCCTACAGGCTAGAGTTAATATTCTAATCTATGCATATAGTCAGTATGTATGTTTCGAGATGCTAGTATTTCGCTCTAGAAGCTGAAGAAATTGGCTAGTCTTGCAATAAGTTCTTATACTGTGCTTCTTAATGTCCAGGCAGCATCAGCTTTACTTCATTTAGAGTTACAGTTACGTGGATTTTCATCAGTGCATGCCTTTGCAGGATTCAAGGGCCTCACTGAAGTTATCTTATATGACACCTTTTTGGCCAAGTCAGCAAAATGTCTCGATGTAACTATTAAAACCAGCCTCAGCTGCTCTGACAAAAACCAGTCCATTGGCAAACTAAAGGCACAGTAGTACACACTTTCTTTAGTTCATATTGATTTGTGTGGGGCAGAAGGGACTTTGCTGTAGGATTTGATACAGACAGAAATACTGTATTTCACACAAAATCCTTTTTTTCCATTTTTATGTATACACATGTAATTAGTTTCAAGTATGTTCAGGCACTTCTGGACCCTGTATTAGGGTTTACAATTCTTTGTGAATTGTCTATTTGTTCCCCACTAAACAGTTAACTTCTCTTTTGTAAGTGGAAAGTCTCCTGGTAGTTGATTAGTACATATGATCTTTCATTTAGGAATTATTGAACCGATCTATATGGTAATGATGTTCTGCTATTTGCATTTAAATTAGATGAATTATTTATCAACTATCAAGCATATCCCTAAAGCATTGCACAGTAGACTTAATGCTTTATGAGATTATTTTCTATTGTCTTCCTTCTTACATCATCTATGGTTTTCATCTCTGAACAAAATAATTAGTATTTATAGAGGAAGTCTGTTGAAATTTCTTACCTTATAAATTAATATTTTTAATAATCTCTTATGTGTTTGGGTTTAATAACAAAGGAAGCCACCTAAACTTTTTTACCAGCCTTGTACAGGTTGGTGAAAAGAATGTTGTTTATAAGTTATGACTATTTGCTGTAATACTGTAGTCACCATGATCAATAAGGCTATCAAGATGTTTATTTGCTTGTTATGAACACAGCTATTGAAATGTTTGTGGTTCAATGCAAGGACTAAAAAGTTATGACATACAAGAAGTAAATACAGGATTGCATTTGCTATAAGTCACTTCATTTATTGTGCTCATGTTTGCTTATATTCCAGTTTCGCTTTGCTTATGAGACAGTATACATCCATATTCTTAATTTTATATTTCCATTGTGCTTCATTTTACTGACATTAACCTACCTACAGATGCACATTAAATCTTTAAAAACCTGAATGATATTTTACTCTGAGGATATTAAGAGCTTTTAAAACATTTTTATATATATTTGAAGTGTTTAGTCCTCTACCAAGTAATTGTGATTGGTTCAGGGGAAAAAAAAAAAAATCTGCCTAGCGGTGGCTGCAGGTGCTCTTAGATCTCATCTCTGTATCTGTGTAATTCGAAATGGAGTCCACAGCACTAGAGTTACTAGCATTGAATTTGTCTGAATGCCTGTAAGGGATTACAGTTGCCATCAGGTTTTGCTGCAGTGTCCTGTTGAGCTTTGCCAGGAACTGGTTTCTGTACCTTGCCAGCTCACTGGACAAGACGTGCAAGGCTGTTGATGGAAAATGGTCAGGCAAAGGTCTGTATCACCCACGTCTGCCCAGGGAGTCCTGGCAAGGAAAGAGTTCTGGAGCTGTCCCAGTTGCCCAAAGTATTTGGTGGTCATCTCAGCCCACGTTGGAGGGGAGCTGCCTGTTTCTTGTTTCTTTTTTTTTTGTTCCTGTTCAAATACATTTCAAGTCAGAGTGTGTGGCCCAGATCTTGGACCTGTCAAGCTTAATCATATCTATTTGTAATCTCATTATGTGTATTCTGCTAAGGTATGCCCACTATGGTGAATTGAGCATTGAAACTAAAGAACACTTACCTATTTGAATTGTAGTTGTCTCAGCTGCACGTGTGCAAGAACCTATCAAAAAAAACCATGAAGAGAAAATTTTCCCCTTGGCAACTTTCCCCTTCTGCTAGCAAAGTTCATTGCACTTGTCTGTGGAAAAACGCTTCTTCTGGCCTATTTCAGACACAAGATGCTGGACTAGTCATGCGTGGTTTGGTGTGGGGATTCCTGTAATAGGAAGGTTGGCCTCACTACAGACTTTTCTTCCAGGAAACACAGAATTTTAAAAAGAGATAGTGTAACCGTTAATTTTACATTGTAGGCTGGAAAAATGTGTGGAAGCTAAAGAAGAACTAGAGGCAGATCTTTATAACCGGTTTATTTTGGTGCTGAATGAGAAGAAGGCAAAGATAAGAAACTTACAGAAGTTGTTGAACGAAGCTAAAGAAGCTAAAGAATCTGCAGTAGGTGCCAAATGTACAAGGTATTTCTTAATTTTTCTGACAGTTCTTCCTGGCTAAGTGCTTGGTTATCCAAAACAATACTGTTAGTCATGAAAGCAGAGGATTCTTTGTGGCATCACTGCAAAGAGCAGCATATTGCTTTGGATGCTGTAGCCAAGAGCTAAATATTCGATGAATCTGTCCTCTTCTTTTTTCTGTTGGGCTGCAGTTGATTTTCCAATGAGAGTATGTCCCTGCCATTTCCATAGTTGGTACTTTCATATGCATTGTCCCTGAATTATTTCATTCCATTTGTCCTTTGGGAAACAAAAATACCTAAATTGAAATGTTTTTATGTACTTTTTATTTCAAAAATATCCAGAGAAGATTAATTATTCTAATGCTACAACACAGCTTAATTTGTTTGTTTTTTTTATCCTGCTTTTTTATATCTTAACTTACCTTTTTTTGTCTGTCCTTGTATATGAATGCGCTAAGCTGTTCAGCATGGGGACTCTATGTTGATGTGTATCAGCTTGCATTTCCTAATAATTATAAATTCTTTGCAGAAATAATAGATGGCAAAAATGTGATTTTTTTTTCCTTTTTTTTTTTTTTTCTGCTAGGGTTAGCATAGCCACCACTCAGATGGCTACAGGGAGAGAAAATGACTATGATGGCAACACTGATGAGGAAAGTGAAAATTTAACACAGGCCTCATTACCATCAGGTAAGACAGAATGTATTGTCTTTGGGGAATATCAGAGACAGGCCAATCACTTTATGTGAATAAACCTTAATGAAGACAAAATACTGCCTGACAAATTGCTCTGTGACAAGCCAACCTGCAAGCCTTAAAAATATCTCTCTTGAAGCACAGTATAATACTGGCATTTTTAAATTAGAGAGAGGAAGTTTAAAAGCATGTTGCACAAGTGAATGTACTGTCATTTCTTCCAAAATGACAAATTACATACTTTGCAGAACTAATGACAGTCCAACAGTATCTGAAGCATCAACAATTCCATTTTAAATTCTAGGAGTCATGATGTGTATGCAATGATTGCTAAAATGTAAAATGTAGTTCCTGACAGTTTCAGTAGCCTTTTAAAAAGGGGAAAGAGAGGAGGTTTAACAGCTATAAAAAGACCCATGTGCATAAATAGAATAAAAATGTATTTATAGCAGAATTAATTTTAATTTGTCAGTGAATTTCTGGCCTCATGAAGGTGCTCATGAAACTTAATTTGGCTAATTTTTCCAGGACTAAAGACTTGTAAAGTGTGTGGGATACAGCAATTGTCCATACTACAATACAAGATACTTAACTGTGAATCATATAAATTTTGGCATATTTTGGCAAGCTAGTAGGAATATGCAGGACAAATGCTACTGAAGTTTTAAAACTGCATTGACACTTGCATATAGCTATTGTAAACTTCCCATCAGGTCTGCAAAGTTTGCTATGGGTTCTCTCACTGGAGCTTTCTATTTCCACCATAGGTAAAGGTACTCAAGAGAATAACTCATTGCAACTGTTTACTGTGCATACTGGGAACCAGAAGTGTTCAAGGCCTTGATACCAGTGGTATTCAGCTTTGTAACTCATATGAGCCTGTTTGTTGAGGACTTTATAATATAATATAAAGTAGGCAGAGCTTCAGACAGATTTAGAAATTTGCCATTGCAGAAAGAAATTATTTTGTATTGTACTATGCTCTTCAGTTCAGAAATCTTTGCTTTCAAGTGGTATTTGGTCAGTTCAGACAATATGAGGTGAAATACTTCACATTTAGCGAAAAAGCAAGGGGAGTGGAAGGTGTTGATTCTTTTTGCTAGATTCAGTAGGACTTAATTAGCTCAGTGAGAGTTTTCAGACAGATGTATATATTTAAAAATAAAAACAACCCCCCACTGCCCTACTCAGGCAATCATGATGGACTGGACTGATCAGTGTTATAGGAAAAAAATAGCAACTGTATTTTTATTTGAGTTGTAAACAAAACTATGCCTTCTGTTGCCTTTGAGGGATACGATACTCAGGATTTTGATCATGACTAGAGAGTTCTTTCAACTCCAAAATTTGCAAATAATACGAAGACTATAAACTTAATCCTTTGGGTAACACACTTAAGTTTTTCAAGGTAATGGTATTCCTGAGCCTGCACAATGACTATTGCTTAGGTCAGTTGATACTCTTCCTGTGTACACAGCATTCTCTTTCCATAGACAATAGAAAAGCACAGATAGGAACTGAATATCTTGGCATGGTCTAGGATTTTCACATTCAAAAAGAGTTCTAAGGTGCACTGTGTCTCTGAAGAAGACAGTGATTCAGGGGTGAGTGACATGAGAGGGTAGTGAAGCTCATAGCTACATCAGGCATCAAGGACTGTAAGGCATAAAAGTTAATACAGAGAATGTTTGGAGTTTTTCTGTTTATCTGTAGTTTTCCTATCTCTTAGTCCAACATTACATTTCTTTTCCTTTTGGATTTGGAATGTCATTGTGTGGGTTGCAGGAGTCAATAAGAATTAAAGGATTTTTGAGAATGTTTTAGTAGATATTGGTGAAAGCCACAATCAAGAGAGAAGATCATAATTTAAAAACTGCTTTGAAGGAAATAATTGAAGGCAAATGTGTATACGGACACATATACACACATTAAGCATGCATTTGTATGTGTGCATGTCCAGAGCTTAAAAAAGCAAGAAGCTGATGCTGGTTGTCATAAATAAAAAGTAGGAACTGCTGGAAATGGCTGAAGAAAGCCACATGATATAAAGGTGGAGAACCTCAGGCCAGGAGGTAGAAGGCCAATGACCAGTCTTCAAGTCAGTTGAGAACATATATGCAGTTGTTACTGTGCAATGATAAAAAAAAACAGTAGTAACTGAAAAAGAAGCCATGTTTAGTAAGTGCTTTTGGTTTGCATTTAGGGGGGAAAACTAGGTGTAGTTGCGTCATAATGTACTTCTGTTCTAGCAACTAAGGGGGACATGAAACAGGAGCTGTGAAATGTAGACATTTTAAAATTAGCCAGTCAGAATATGTTGAACTGCAGAGTTTAAAAAGCTGCCTAGGAATTTTTCTTTGCTACCAGTAATTGTGGGGAGGTTTCTTCTAGAATTTTTGGGGCACTGAGGGCATTCCAGGGGATTTGGAAAAAAGCTGCTAATATTTACCAAAAGAAAAAGTAAATTAAATGGAACATTCAAGTATGAGTGTATCAGCCTGGTGTTGATCTGATGCAAATATTGGAACAGGACTCAATGAAGAAAAATATTAAGACAAGGAATAGGAATGGTTAATTCCAGTCTTTGTAAAGGTACAGAAACCAGAGGTTGAAAACTAGGTACTCATGTCTTCTGTGATGAGATTACCAGCTGGCTGATGAAAGTAAAATTAGTAAAGTAATAGACTGACTTCTGTAGGATATCATGCTGCACCACATTTTAATCAAGAAATTGGAACATGGAAATTAACATAACACATGGTAAATACATTCTCAAATGAGGTAATATGTCTGTCTCAAAATATAAATGGGAAGTTATCAGTCCCTGTATCTGAGGAGTGTGAAATTGAAGATGTGTATAATGTATATAAACCAATTTGTGTTTTGTGATACACCAACTATAAACAAAGCATATGCATTCTAACACAGTGTAATGTGATGATTTCCAGTCCTTTGACAGCTGTGCTTCACTTGAGAATACCAAGTGTCTCAAGCTTTGCTTTGCCTAGCTCCTTCTGCCACAGAAAGCTGGGTGCCCCCAGGTGGACCCGTCATCTTCCCCAGGTAGACCCATCCGGCAAAGCCAAGAGCTACTTGGACAATTTTCGCACTCTGCTCCACATTGCACCCATTCTGGCACGGTGGCAGTGTCCTGCCTGGCCTTGTGGGAAACAGGCTTGGTCTTAGCCCAAGTTAGTTCAGTTGGTCTCTCTCTGACCTCTTATCAGTTTATAACTTCCCAGTGCTATCTGACTCACCTGATAGGGAACCACTGGTCTAGAGTAAGGATACACTGGAAAATAAAGAACATGTAGAAAATTCTCTGAAGCAGCAATGACTTTATTTAAGAAAACAAAAAAAACCCCCAGACATTGAGTGTGAAAATAAATAAGCAGATTTGCAGTGTTAGGGTAAAAGGGACCAATACATGATTTGGCCCCTTGATGCAGTGCTGCATCAAGTTTGGACATCAAGAATTGAAGGAGAATGTTAGCAGGTTGGGGATGATAAAATTGTGATAACAATGGAGGGACTAGCAAATGATTTAAATGAAATGCTGAGAAGTATCTTAAACAATTGTTGTTTTCATGGTCTAAAAGAAACTACATTGCAAAGTGAAGTGATGGTAGATGGTCTTTCTGTCCAGCAGATACAGGTGTTTAATGAACTTGAATAACTGGAACTTAACATTAGACAAAGACAAAAGTGGGATGTTGTGCCTGACAGGATAATTAACTGTTAGAACAGTTTGGAGCAGGATGGTTCACTGCCAGTGTTGAAATCATGATGGCATGCTTTTAATAAAAAGACAAGATCTTGTTCATATAAGCATGAACCTAAAAGTAATATACAACCTGTTATGTTGGGCTTTGCAAATGGCTTTTACTATGACAGCTTTTCCTCTATAAGAGCAGATGAATCGCAGAATAGAACCATTTCTTGTGCCTTTACAAAAATGAGTTTACTTGTGCATGAATACTCAGTAAGTCTATCAGGTAGGTTTTCAACCTCTGCACAGCAGGTGATTACATTTATTAGTTCAGCTTCAGATAAATTTTGTGTAGAGGTCTTTTCTCTACAATAGCAGTTAAACTGTAACCTAAAAGTTTACCTAAAAATTTATGGGTTTGGCACTTACAGTACTATTTGTAGACACGATTTATGGTTTACTTTTTGACAGCAGTTTCTACTTCATAGCTTAAAGCTAAAATCAACTGAAACATCGTAGTTTTTGTCTTTACATACTGATGTAGTTAATGCTTTGTATTGTAAAAGAACAAATTAAAATTGAATTAGTAGGTATTTCAGTGTAAAGCACTCTGGAAAACAACTGATGTATATGAGAAGTACAACTTTTAGACAAAGTACAACTTCTATAAATAATACTGTATGTCTTTCTATACAACAGCTTTGCCCATCATGCCATGAGCATGGGGGAAATTTATTTGACATATTGGTTAGGACTGTGAATGTGAGATTGAAAAACGCACACGATTCCTGCTTTCACTGCAGTTTAATAAATTCTTAAGCAGCAGCTATATAGGATGTGCCAGGTCCTTGTAAACACCGGTGAGCTCTTGTTTGAGAGTTTCTGCTCTGGAAGGACAGGAAGGGAATCTTCCTGCTGTTAAGCAGTTCTTCATGAAAGGGGAAGTCTGAATGTTTCTTGGAAGCAGGGGCAGGTTGCTTTTGGTTTGCTTTGTTATCTGTTTTACTGCAGGATTGGTAAGATTCTAGCTGAGCCACCAAAACCAGATATAGTTGTTGCTTTCGCTACTGGTACTTTGGCAAAGTTACAGCAACTTTGCAGGTGCCTCACAGCTGAGACTGCTGATGTGCCCTCTCATTGTTTCACTTGCATCTAGTCTTGCACTTCAACTCTTTAAGCAAATATCTGGTATTTTGTTTAGCTTGACTGGTCTAGCATTTTTAGGGCCATCACTTTTGGTTGGGACCACTAAGTCCTGTGATAGTAGAAAGAATGATACACACAG